AACCCAGGAGGCGGAGGTTGCAGTGAACCGAGATCATGCCATTGCACTCCATCCTGGGCAATGAGAGTGCAACTCCATCTCAAAAAAAACAAAAACAAACAAACAAAAAAAAAGGCCAGGTGTGGTGGCTCACACCTGTAATCCCAGCACTTTGGGAGGCTGAGACAGGTGGATCATCTAAGGTCGGGAGGTCGAGAACAGCCTGACCAACATGGTGAAACCCTGTCTCTACTAAAAATACAAAAAAATTAGCTGGGAGTGGTGGCACATGCCTGTAATCGCAGCTACTCGGGAGGCTAGGGCAGGAGAATTGCTAGAACACAGGAGGCAGAGGTTGTGGTGAGCCGAGATTGTGCCATTGCACTCCAGCCTGAGCAGCAAGAGCAAAACTCCATCTCAAAAAAAAAAAAAAAAAAAAGTGGTATATTGCAATCTTCAACTCTTATTGTTGAGCTATTTTCCTCTTCATTCTTGACAATTTTTACTTTATGCATTTGGGTGCTCTATTTTTATATACACATATCTTTACAATTAATATATTTTCCTGATGGGTTGACGATTTTTGCATTATAAAATATGTCTCTATTTCTAGTAACATTTTCTATTTTGAAGCCTATTTTGCCTGATCTTACTATAGCCACTCCAGCACTTTTGTTGTTGCTGTTTGTATGGTGTATCTTTTTTCATCCTTTTACTCTCAATATATTTGTATCTTCGATTCCAAACTGTGTCTTATAAACATCATATAATTTAATCTTTTTTTTTATTCAGTCTGACAATCTCTGACTTTTGATTGGATTGTTTAATCAATTCACATTTAATGTTATTACTGGCATAGTTGAATTTATGTCTACCATTTTACCTTTTTTTGTGTGTGTATCATGGGATTTTTGTTCTTCTATTCTTCTCTATGCCTTCTTTCACATTAAGTAAAATTTTAATGTAGTATTTTAGTTCTTTATTTTTCCCTATATACTTTTAATTATTTCTTAGGGCTTACCATACACATTTTAACTCATTATAGTCAAATTCAATTTGATTCAATTTCATACTAACTTAATGCTAGTAACATATAGAAATGTTACTGCCATATAGCTACATTCCCTTTCCCCTTTTTAATAGTATTATTATTATACATATTACATCTATGAGTGTTACAAATCCCAATAATATATTCTTATAATTATTACCTTATATAATTGTATATCTTTTAAAGAAGCTGAGGTCAGAATGGGGAGCAATTATATATTTATAGTCTTTTTATGTTAACCTTTACTATCATTTCTGGTTCTCTTCATTTGTTCCTTGAGCTTGAGTTACCATTGAAGTCATTTCTTTAATCCAATACACATTTGTTCCCACTCATCATTTATGTGCCACTACTGGGAAATATATTACATTTCTATATGTTATAGGCACAACAGTATATTATATGCATATTGTTTCATACAATTGCTTTTTAAATCAGCTAAAAGATGATGAAATATATATTTATATTGTCTTTTATAATTACCTTTACCAGTGCTCTTTGTTTTGTGTGGATTTGAATTACTATCTGGAGTAACTTGCTGTCAACCTGAAGGATTTCCTTTAGTATTTCATGTAAGTCAAATCTGCTAGCAACATATTTTTTCAGTTTTTGTTGGCAATGTTTTTATTTCACCTTCAGTTCTAAAAGATAGCTTTGCTGAGTTTTTGTTTGACAGCTTTTTCTTTAAGCACTTTGAACATGTTATCCCATTCTCTTCTGGCTTCCATTGTCGTTGCTGAGATATCTGCTATTAATCTTATTGGGACCCTTTTGTAAGTGATCAGTCATTTTTCTATCGATGCTTTCAAAATTTTCTTCTCGTCTTCAGCTTTCATTATTTTTACCAAAATGTGTCTGTTTGTGGATCTCTTTGTGTTTTTCCTACTTGGAGTTCATTGAGCTTCCTATATGTGTACATTGATGTTTCCCAATAAATTTGTAATATTTTCAGCAATTATTTATGAAAATGTTTTTTTCTGCTCCTTTCTCTTTCTCCTCTCCTTCTAGCATTCACCTTATGCATTAGTTGGTGTGCTTAATGGTGTCCCACATTTTTCTGAGGCTCTGTAAATTTGTAATTCTTTTTCCTCTCTGTTCTTCAGATTGCTTAATCTTTATTGATTTATAAAGTTCACTGATTCTTCTGCCAGTTCAGATCTATTATTGAGCACCTCTAGTGGATTTTTCACTTCAGTTATTGTACTTTTTAACTCTAGAATTTCTATTTTCTTACAGTCTATCCCTATATTGATGGGATCCTTTTATTCTTCTCTATTTGATGCATATCATTTCTATCTTTACTTCTTTAGTCATGGTTTCCTTTAGTTTTTTGGACACACTTGGAATGGCTAATTTCAAGCCTTTGGGTGCTGCCATAAGGAATTTTGTTGCCTGTGAACAGAAAAATGCAAATTAATACAACTCTGAGATGCTTCTTTATAAGAAGTTTCATTATTATATTGTCAAAAATTAAAAATCCAGTTATTACCAGAGATTTCTGAGGACAGGGGAGAATGATAATCCTAATATGGCGATGATGGGAGTGTAAACTGATACAGCCATTCTAGCAAGGAATCTGATAGTTCTTGGTCAAATAGAGAATGGATGTACCTTGTTATCCAGTAGTCTGCACTGGATACATACCAGGAATTTGATCCTACAGAGCTATTAAAGAACATGCACAGGCCGGGCGTGGTGGCTCATGCCTGCAATCCCAGCACTTTGGGAGTCTGAGGCGGGTGGATCACGAGGTCAAGAGATCGAGACCATTCTGGCCAACATGGTAAAACCCCGTCTCTACTAAAAATACAAAAATTAACTGGGCATGGTGGTGCATGCCTGTAGTCCCAGCTACTCGAGAGGCTGAGACAGGAGAATCACTTGAATCTGACAGGCAGAGGTTACAGTGAGCCGAGATCACGCCACTGCACTCCAGCCTGGCGGTCAGAGCGAGACTCCATCTCAAAAGAAACAAAGGAAAAAAAAAGAACATGGACAAAGATATTCACCATAGTGTTTGTAGCAATGGAGAGTTGAAGACAATCCACCTGTTCATCCTTAGTGGTAATGGAGAAGTAAAGTAGCTAGATGTATATTGTAGAATATCAAACATCAGTTAGAAGCAAATTATACATACTGCAACATAGATGATTCCTCAAAAATATCATGTTGAGAAAAAAGTAAAAGTACAGAGTGAGATCTGAAGCACAATGTCATTTATAGAAATATTAAACACATCTATATATAATCAATGACATACATAAAAACCATTTGTTGGTGCCTACTTATCATAGGGAGGGACAGAAGTAAAAATTGAGGAAGAAAGGAGTGAAATAAAATAAAATTTGTCTTACATGAATTTATGATGAATCTCTGCAAGTCTGCTTCTGAGATGCAAAATGAAAACAAAGATACAGAAATCAAGGAAATACAAGATAATGTCATCAGACGAGATTTAGAATTGGAAGAAAAAGGTTGGAATGTTTGAAAAGAGAGAATAAATAGTATGAAATACTTATCTTGGTTATTTAGAAAGTGAATTTATTGAAAAATATGGTAGAGTTACCAGGCAGGGTTAAATGCCCACTGAAGGTTTGTGATCATGCATTCACAGTGAAACCAGTAAGCCCACTTGTGTGATTCCCCATCATTACATGACTCCTCAGGCAGAAGAGGAAGCAAGAGCATTGCTTTTGTTTTTAAGACAAGAGAGATTTGAGTGTGTAAAAGCTAATAGGAATGTGCTCATAGAGACAGGCAGGTCGAAGATATTGGAGAAAGAAAGGGTAACAGATAGAGAAGAATAACAATAACCTGTGCCTGCCCACCCAGCATAGCATCTCTTTCTCTGAGATAGTAGAGTCTACAGCCATAACACCCTGAAGGTACCTGATCTTGTCTGATCTCAGAAGCTAAGCAGGGTCAGGCCTGGTTAGTACTTGGATGGGACATACTAGGGTAGGATAGAGTGGATGCAGATAAATTTATAAGTGGCAGAGGGGCAGAATTTGCAACAAAAAAAAAATCCATTTCAGCCTTTGTCTTAGCTTGTGAACAGACCTAAATATGTACATCTCATTAAATTTCCCAACGATCACTCCTCATTCAGGTGTTCCAGAAACAATGCCTCTGATGACAGACATCTGTAACCTACATAACCAGTGCAGTAGGATGCATTTCAATTTAAAATCATCCATCCAACTCTCATTTGCTACTGGTGATAATTAGTACAGTCTCTCCAGAGAGAAAATTACTTATCCAGATCCTTAAAAATCATTCATACAATTTTTCCCAGTATTCTACTTCTAGAAATGTATGCTAAGGAAATAATTAGAGAGATACACAAAGACTTGTACAAGGATATTTAGTCTAGTGTTATTCCTATAATAAATAACAAAAATTGGAAGCCACTTAAATGTTCCTACAGCAGAGGAAGGGTTAAATTAAATTCAAAGATATCCATTGAAGAAAATATTTTATTGCCATTAAAATAATGTTTAAAAATAATATTGGCTCGGCCAAGCGTGGTGGCTCATGCCTGTAAACCCAGCACTTTGGGAGGCCAAGGCAGGCGGATCACGAGGTCAGGCAATCGAGACCATCCTGGCTAACACAGTGAAACCCTGTCTCTACTAAAAATACAAGAAATAAAAGTTTGCAGTGAGCTGAGATCGCACCACTGTACTCCAGCCTGGGGGACAGAGCAAGACTCTGTCTCAAAAATAAAATAAAATAATAATATTGGCTCAGGAAAATATGCATAATATTCAAACAGTTTAGCCGCAGCCTAATTTCTGTGCACCCAGGCTAATTAATGTTCTTGGGAACTAATTAGAGCTGACATGTACAGCCAGCCTTTTGCTTACTCTGCGGGATCTTGTTCTGTATGATTTCTCTAGGGGGAGCCTGCTCACTTTGAGTATTTGATGTATCCATTGCACTCAGCACCCATCACCGGTCTAGCTACCTGCATCCGCAAACCCCTCATAGCCACCTGTTCTCTGGATCGATCCATCCGCATTTGGAATTATGAAACAAAGTAAGGAATGAAAGACTTGCCTACTATAATATGCAAGACTCCAGTTGTTAATTTGTTTATGTGTATTATTTTAATTACAGTGTTTCAAACTTTAATTACTTAGAAGCTTTCAGTTGGAAAAGATTTTTTAAAAATCAAGTCAGTCAGCCTACCTGTTTCTCACTCTTGCATGGGCTAGAAAACTACTTTGTGGTTTACTTAATGCTTACCACATGCCAGACACTGGGGACATGAAGATATGAAGATAACACCCCAGTCTCTCACCTTCTTACATAAACTCCTGTGTCCTTCCAGCTCTCCTATCCCCTTGTTTCCCACAGGAACTGCTCTTTGCTTCAGGGAGCTGTCCAGACCCTTTCTTCCTCCTCTTTCTCCCAGGACATCACTGTCCCAACCCAGATTTTACCTTCTGGCACAGCTTCCCTGGGAAGCTCCGACCCTAGTTGGACTCCCACCCCCACTGTTTTCTTTGTTCTTGTGTACAACTTCTGGGGCTTCTAGGGAAAAAATACTTGGACAATACTCATGAATTTTGGAATCTAAACAGCTATGTCTTCAGCATTGCTAGACCACACTTTGACCAATCTCCTTATCTACCATGCTCCATGCTGGACATTATACCCTCATAACCAAAATCTAGAAAAGAGAGGAACCAACAATTGCAAATAGTAGTGTATCTCAAATACTATGATAACAACATATATCAGATACAGTGGATGACTGGAGGGATTTAGTGAGCTAGGCTTACAATTCAGTAATTGATCTTTTTCACAGCACTCTGGAACTATTCAAGGAATACCAAGAAGAGGCATATTCCATCAGCCTTCATCCATCTGGACACTTCATTGTAGTAGGGTTTGCTGACAAACTACGCCTTATGAATCTACTCATTGATGATATACGTTCTTTCAAAGAATACTCTGTTAGAGGATGCAGAGAGGTAAAAAACTGCTGAAGACAAAAGTCCAGTTTCTTAGAAAGCCACGGCTGAAATATCAGGAACTAACATGGTCTGGGGAGGTGGGACCAAAATCTGTCTTGGAGAACTATAGTGGCTTAAAAAAAGTGGGGAGGGGGAAATCCAGTTCTTTTCCCAGCAACCTTATTGAGTATATGCTTCCATCCCCATTTTCTTATGTCCACCAGACTATTTCATTGAACCTAAAACCTTGTGAGATCCCCGCTATGATAAGTCCTGTCTGTAATGGTGGAGTATTAGCAAATATTTTAAAAGAAAAGTAATCTCAGAATCAGAGTCACAGCTAGGAAGGTGAGGTTGGAGACAGGAGCCACGGAAAAATAAGCATCAATGGTGAGAGGCAGGAAAGAGCTCATCAGCTTTCCCCAAGGTGACTTGCACAAACAAGGCAATGACTTCAGGAATTACTTCCCTGGCTCTAAAACGTGCTTCTACAGGCAAAATGACTGCTTGTCGTCCCAACGGCTTCATGATTTGTGGGCCTGGCAGTGTCAGCATCTGGCCACTATGAGTCACAGGAATAGTGAAAGTGTCTGAAAATGTCAGCCACTCCTCAATCTCATTTGCACCTTACCCCCACTCCCACCCTCACATGTAGTTTCAGTCCGAACTCTTGGGAAAATCACCCTTGACTGTAACCTCTAATTAGACTGCTCGCTTCCTGCTTGCTTGCTCTCTTGCTGTCTTTCCCTGTAGTGTTCCTTTAGCAACGGAGGTCACCTGTTTGCTGCAGTCAATGGAAATGTGATTCACGTTTACACCACCACGAACCTAGAGAACATCTCAAGCCTGAAAGGACACACAGGGAAGGTGAGTGAGTGAACGGTCTCCAGGGAAACAAGGGGCCCAGAGCCAAGCATGCCGCCAGCCAGTGGGATGCAGGTGAACAAAAGAGAGGTAGTTCCTTTCCTCATGGGTTCACTGTCTACTTGGGGAAAGACACAATAAAACAAATGCACAGACAAATGTAATTACTAATTGCAGTTCCATTGAAAGAAAAACATGGTGTTGTTATGAGAGAAATAATGAAGGGGGCGGCATAATTTAGGTGGCTGTATTTGCAAAGGCTTGGTCCTATAAGAGTGAGTAGGAGTTAATCAGACAGAACTGGTGGGGATAATCATTGCGGATAGGGATCCAAAGGCCAGAGATGGGAGATTCATGGGGTGTCAGAGGACATGAAAGTCTGTGGACCTGGAATGTGGTGCCAGGATAAACCATGGGGTAAAGAATGGGCTGAGATTGGAGAGGTCACAAGGGCCCAAATGCATGGAAACTTGTAGGCTTTGTAAGGATTTATCCTTCTTATTCCTTGAAATCATTGAAGACTTTCAGGGCAGAGAATGATATGACTAGATTTGCATTTTGAAGGATTACTTTGGCTGCAGAGTGAAGACTATTGCAGGGGGTGAGGGTAGAAATGGAAGGAGGCTATTGTGGATATCTACACCATAGATAATAGTGGTGGTGGTACAGTTAGGGAGAAGGGGATGGATTCAGATGATTTTAGAAAGTAAAGTCATGGGCTCATGCCTATAGTCTAAGCACTTTGGGAAGCTAATGCAGGAAGCTCGCTTGCACTCGGGAGTTCGAGACCAACCTGGGCAGCACAGGGAGACCCTGTCTCTACAAAAAGTAAAAAATATTTGCCAGGTGTGATGGCACACACCTGTGGTCCCAGTTACTTGGGAGGCTGAGGCGGGAGGATCACTTGGGCCCAGGAAGTCAAGGCTGCAGTGAGCCATGATCACACCACTGCACTCCAGCCTGGCTGACAGAGTAAGACCCTGTCTGAAAAAAAAAAAAAGAAAGAAGGAAGGAAGGAAGGAAGGAAGGAGAAAAAGAAAAAAAGAAAGTAAAATCACTAGGTCCTAGAGTAGTGGATTAGATGTGAGACATGATTAAGAGGGAGGGGCATGGAGAGGGTAAGAAGTCAGCAGATGAATCTGGAGAGAAGAGGCCATTGGAAAAGAGAGGCATTCTAGGCAGAAGGACTTATTGGAGATGATGAAATGGAGGTATGAAATGGAGGTGCAGGCCGGGCGCGGTGGCTCAAGCCTGTAATCCCAGCACTTTGGGAGGCCGAGATGGGCGGATCATGAGGTCAGGAGATCGAGACCATCCTGGCTAACACGGTGAAACCCCGTCTCTACTAAAAAAATACAAAAAACTAGCCGGGCGAGGTGGCGGGCGCCTGTAGTCCCAGCTACTTGGGAGGCTGAGGCAGGAGAATGGCGGGAACCCGGGAGGCGGAGCTTGCAGTGAGCTGAGACCCGGCCACAGCACTCCAGCCTGGGCGACAGAGCGAGACTCCGTCTCAAAAAAAAAAAAAAAAAAGAAATGGAGGTGCTCGTTGGTTCATATGGCTGGAACACTGGACACATTTGAGCGATGATAAAGAGGTAGTAGGAAAGGTTGGCTGCGTCATAGAAGGTAGTGTATGCCGTGCCAAGGAATTGGACTTTAGTCTTTCAGTGACAAGAAACAAGGGAAAGGATTTAAGCAAGAAAGTAATGGGATCAGAAAGGTGACTCTCTAAACAGTGTTGAGGAAGGATTAGAGTGGAAGGAAATTGGAGTGATGGAGAGCAGCTAGGATGTGAAGGTGAAAGTTGGGTTAGGAACTAAACCATGACTTTAGTAGCGGAGGCAGAGAGAAGAAAGAGATGAAGTTCCATTTCGGCCATGTTATATTTCATGTGCCCAGAAGTGTGATGTATGTGTGTGGAGGTCAGGAAAGAAGTCAGGGCTGAATATGAAGATTCGGGGAATTAGAAAGTAGAGGAAGTCAGAGGCATAGATTAGATCACCAAGGGCCTATGTGGAATCTGAGAAGGATATTGGACAGGATAGGGGAGACCAACGTTTAAGAGACTGGTGAAAGAAGAGGAGCCAATGAAAGACTGAAAATAAAGATACGAAGAGAACTCGGAATCAATAATTGTCTCAAAGAAGCCAAGGAACCAAACAATTTCTGAAAGGTTGAAGTGGTCAGTGGTACTAGATGTCAGAGGGAGGTCATGTAAAGTCCAAAACTGACTATTGACTTTAGCAAATAACAGGTCATTGGAAGGAAAAGTAAAAATTTGTGGAAAGTGAAAGTGCTATGTAAACACAAGCATTTTTGTTTGTTTTTGAGACAGAGTCTCACTCTGTCACCTAGGCTGGAATGCAGTGGCGCAATCTCGGCTTACTGCAACCTCCACCTCCTGAGTTCAAGCGATTCTCCTGCCTTAGCCTCCTAAGTAACACAAGCTCTTTTTTTGAGACAGAGTTTCACTCTTGTTGCCCAGGCTGGAGTGCAATGGCGCAATCTCAGTTCACCGCAACCTCCGCCTCCCGGGTTCAAGCGATTCTCCTGCCTCAGCCTCCTGAGTAGCTGAGATTACAGGCATGCACCACCACGCCCGGCTAATTTTGTATTTTTAGTAGAGACAGGGTTTCTCCATGTTGAACTACCAACCTCAGGTGGTCTGCCCACCTCGGCATGAAGGACTTTCTTTACTATTTCCTGGAAGGCAGATCTTCTAGTAAAAAAAAAAAAAAAAAAAAAAATATGTTTTTATTTATCTGAGAATATCTTTATGTTCATGTTTATCTTCATGTTTATCTTTATGTTCATGTTTATCTCACTTCCGTGAGTGACACTTGAGGTGTATGTGCGCACGTGCGTACATGTGTGTATGTGCACGTGTATAAGCCCCTGATCTTTTTGGCTTGCCCTTCATGGCTTGGATCTTTCACTCTATGAGCAAACTGGGTCAGGAATCATTGGGGCACAGTTATTCTTAGTATGCTGAGCTTGAAGTGGAGCTTCTTCCAACAAGTGAGAATGGGCTGGGGGGAAGAGAGTCTGAGCCCTCTCGGCCACACCTGCTTGGAATAGAGCTTCTGCAACATGGGGCTGGGGTAAGAATAAGAAATCCCAGCAGTTTCCCTTTCTAGACTGAAACCATAGCCCAAGACCGGGAGCTATGGGGAGAGGAGTCGCTTGTCTTGGCCACACGTGCCCAGTGTGCACAGCAGTGAAGTTTCTGGAGCTGAGGCTGTAACAGAGCGAGTCATGGCTCAAATGCTGCAGACCCTGTTCTTACTGGGATTGAGCAGATGTTCTTGAATAAATGTTTTCCCATTTGCTGTATTCCCTGAGGACAATTTCCAGACACATTTTATTTATTTTATTTTAGACAGGGTCTCACTCTGTCACTGACGCCGGAGTACAGTGGTACACTCATAGCTTTTACTGCAGCCTCAACCTCCCCAGTCCAAGCCATCTTCCTGCCTCAGGCACATGCCACCATGCCCAGCTTACTATTTTTATGAAGACAGGGTTTCACTATGTTACCCAGGCTATTCTCAAACTGCTGGGCTGAAGTGATCCTCCCACCTCAGCCTCCCAAAGAGTTGGGCCTACAGATGTGATCCACTGCACCCAGCCTTCTAGAGACTTTAAATGATTATTTTTATCATATTTACCAGTTAACCTACATTGTCAGAGAGAAGGTCAAGTTTAGGTCCTTACCCTGCCATTCCAGAAGTCCACTCTCTCTGTCCTATTTTTGCAAGTTTCTGTGAATATATAATTATGTCAAAAATGTTTTGAAAAAACAGCAATAATTGGTTGGTTCTAGCCTTAAGAAACCTGTATGATTCAGTCTTTACATTCATAATGTGAAAAAGAAATGGGAGTGTCTTTTTTTGCAAGTGTCATAGAAAACAGAATGTGTACGTTCACAAGAAGCTACGTTTTGTGCTGACAGAAGGGCCTACAGCAGGAAAGGATGTTCTGCTCAGTCTAGTGGAGCACCTGAGGAGTTTGCACCCTTTTCTGTGTTAGGATGTATGTGTGTATATGCTCTTCACTGGATATGTCTTCCTCTCCTGCAGATTCGCTCAATTGTGTGGAATGCAGATGATAGCAAACTGATTTCTGGTGGCACAGATGGTGCTGTGTATGAGTGGAATCTGTCCACAGGAAAGAGAGAGACAGAATGCGTGCTCAAGTCTTGCAGCTACAACTGTGTTACTGTCTCCCCCGATGCCAAAATTATCTTTGCTGTTGGATCAGACCACACCCTCAAGGAGATTGCAGATTCCTCGGTGAGTCTGCCCCTGCCCCGCCTCTGGGCTGCTGCACAGATCTGCAGGGACAGCCGCCCATGCTTACAGCAGAAAGTATGCACGGAATGAGGGCCTCTGTGTACAGGCCCCCTTCTTCCCAAGATAACATCAGGCTCCTCATTCCTTTTGGATTAGCTCAGTTACCGTCACTTCCTGAATTTCCTGCTCAGTTTCCTTCCTGACTGGGTGAAATTGTAAATTGCGGCCTCTTTTTCATTTCTGTTTTACTTGCTGTCTGTAACTTCTCTCCCACCTTCCAGGCATGGAGGTCATGTCATCTCTAAACTGCGCTCTTACCCTTGGTCTGCACTTAACTTTCCTGGGGTAAAAACCTAACTACAGTATGCACTGAGTAACACCAATGATGCACCACACAGACTATAAGATTGTAATGCCATAAGATTATAACGCCAAATTTTCACTGTACTTTTTCTGTTTAGATATACAGATATTTTCCATTGTGTCACAGTTGCCTACAGTATTCAGCATAGTCACGTGCTGTTCAGGTTTGTAACCTAGGAGCAGTAGGCTGTACCACGTAGCCTAGGTGTATAGTAGGCTGTCACAGCTAAGTTTGGGTAAATACACTCCATGATGTGACAAAATAGCCTAACCATGTATCCCATATCAAGCAATGCATGACTGTGCAGTTAGCTGCTATCACCTAGGCTTGCCACTGTATTCTTTTGAAATCCCCAAACTCTGAAACTGTACAGTTACACTAGGCTCCAAATAGTGAAGGGAAAAGAGAGGAGCTCAGCAAGGATGTGTCCTACAAACAAGGCCTGTGCGCTCCTCCAGCTGGCTCCTCCCACTTTTCCTGTGACTGGTGCCTGGGAAAGTGTGTAGATACCACGGCAGCAAGCTAGCCCAAGGCAGGTCTCCCTGGGGCTGGAACACAGTTGACAGTATGGTGACTCTCCTGTGTACTCCCGAGTAGCCCGGTCCTAATTCAATGGCAGCTATCAGTGCTGTGCCAGAATAAAGCCCCTTTAGGGCAAGGCCATGTTTTGCTCCTCTTGGTAGCCCTGCTAGCTGGCACACTGTGTGGTGCACAGTGTTCAATAAATGTATATATAGGTGGGTCGGTAGATGAGTGCGTGAATGAGTGAGGGAATGGAGGGGCGCTCTGATAGTATGGTAGTCCCGCCTTATCCACAGTTTCAGTTACCTGTGGTCAACCAAAGTCCAAAAACAGGTGAGTACCATACTGTGAGTAAGATATTTTGAGAGAGAGAAACCACATTCACACAGCTTTTATACGGTATTCATATAACTGTTCTATTCTATTATTAGGTATTATTTATCTCTTACTGGGCCTAATTTATAAATTAAACCATATCATAGTTATGTATGTATAGGAAAAAAACATAGTATATATAGGGTTCAGTACTATCTGTGGTTTCAGGCATCCACTGGGGATCTTGGAACATATCCCTCGAGGATAAGGGGAGACTAATGTATAGTTTTGTTTATGTAATGAGCATTAATAAATGTTGCTGAATACATTTATGACCAATAGCCCATTCTCATTTTGAAATGCACCCAAGCATAGCAGTCAAAGCAGACTGGAGCCCACCTAGGTACATGAGTAGAAGCAAGTCCCTTGTCACACAGATGGTCCATCATCTGTAGACTAGGGATAACAGTAACTGCCTCAGAGGGTTTCGTGAGGGTTGAATGAGTTGCAACATGGAGAAGGCATAGAACAGTGCTTGGCACATAGTAGGTGCTATGTGAATATCTCTCTTTACTGGTATTATTCCTAACTCATGAAACTGGTTATTTACCAGCAACACAACAAGGAATATCCAGTCTGCACCTTTTTTTTTTTTTTTTTGTGCTAGGCACTATTCTGGATGCCAAAAGGGATAGAAAAAGCATTTTTTAAAGACAGGCCCCTAGGGATCTGTTAGAGGAGAGGGCGAGAGACAATGGCACCAGGACATGGAGGCCACAGCTCAACCCCTCACATTGAGCAGAGCTGCCTGTGTCCCAGATCCTTCGAGAGATATCGGCGTTTGACCTCACCTACACCACCATTGTCATCTCGCATTCCGGACGCATGATGTTTGTGGGCACCTCAGTGGGAACCATTCGTGCCATGAAGTACCCTCTGCCTCTGCAGAAGGAATTCAATGAGTACCAGGCCCATGCCGGTCCTATCACCAAGGTGAGTAGGGCCCTCTCCCCAGGAACCCAGTCCCACACCTGCCTGCCACATGCCTTGTTCGTCCCTTCAACCTCCCAATGTCTTTTCTCTCTCCTTAGTCTCTCTTATTTATTCATCCATCATTCATTGAATCACTGTCTATTGACTATGAATATACTCTTTGTTTAAAACTACTTCCACGAATTGAGCCTAGGAAATCATCAAAGATACACCTAAAAATGTATGTATGACGTTTTCACCATAATATTATGCATAATAAGGGGCCATTTGGTGGATGCTGTAGCTACTGTGAGTGTGGACTGCGCTTGACCACAGCTGCCTCCTTCTCCAGAGAATGGCCCGGACTGAAAGGAGCCATAGCCCTGAAGATTAGCCCCTAAGGGTACAAAAGGCCACCCCAGGGGCAATACCATGAGTACACATTTGTAAATTGTCCTTCCATTCACCCTTCTCATAAAGTAGTGTCTGTGTTCAACAGTCAAAACATGGAAGCAGCCAAGTGTCCACCGACAGACGAATGCATAAGCAAAAGATGGTATATCTGCACAATGGAACAGTATCCTGCCTAAAAAGGAAGGGAATTCTGCAAAGTGCCACCACATGGATGAACCTTGAGGATGTTATGCTAAATTAAATAAGGCCAGCCACAAAAAGATAAATACAGTGTGATTCCACTTTTAGGAGATACTTAGAGCAGTCAGAATCACAAAGACAGAGTGGTGGTTGGCAGGGGCTGCGGGACGGGGAATGGGGAGTGATTGTTTCATAGGTATAGAGTTTTGGTTTTACAAGACAAAAGGGTTATGGGGGTGGTTGGTGGCGATGGTTGCACAACATTACAAATGTATTTAATAACATGAACTGTACACTTGAAAATGGTTAAGATAGCAAATTTTACAGAATATGTATTTTACCACAATTTTAAAAATGAAATTAAAAAGAATTATCTTGCATGCGAAATGGTTGCCAAGAAATCATAGTCAATAGTAAATTCAAGGTTATTCATAGTGCAAAAAAAAAAAGCAATGTCTGTACCTACACTGACCCCCTGAAAAACAGGCACTGGGAAGGTGTGCGTCTCCTCTTCCTTACTCTCGCTTTCTGCAGATTGAATGACATAGACCTGAGGTTTTGAATTATGTCTCAAACTCCATAGTGGCTTACCTGCAACACTAGCTGTATTAAGAAAAGGTTTCTCATTATAAAACAGAACATTCTGTACCAAGCCTGGGCCTTGGGTCTAAAGTAAATTACTACAGCATATTCCCCATCTTCCCTTCAGATCTGCTAAGTTTTGTGGATAAGTAATTTATTTTTCTGATTACAGAAGCAATGCCTGTTTATTTTTAAAATAAAAATCCTTGCCAGGCGCAGTGGCTCACGCCTGTAATCCTAGCACTTTGGAAGCCCAAGGTGGGCAGATGATGAGGTCAGGAGATCAAGACCATCCTGGCTGACACGGTGAAACCCCATCTCTACTAAAAATACAAAAAATTAGCCGGGCGTGGTGGCGGGCGCCTGTAGTCCCAGCTACTCAGGAGGCTGAGGCAGGATAATCACTTGAACCCAGGAGGCGGAGGTTGCAGTGAACTGAGATGGCGCCACTGCACTCCAGCCTGGGCGACAGAGCGAGACTCTGTCTCAAAAAAACAAACAAACAAAAAAATCCTTATAATAGCATCATCATTTCTTTCATGCATTTACTTCTACATTTCCATGTGTGTGTGTTTTAAATAAAATTAAGATCATACTGTGAGGCCACTCTCATGACCCGCTTGTTTTTAACTTCACACTACTATAAGTGTTTGTCCATACAATTAAATATTTCTCAGAAGCATGACTTTAGTAGCTACACAAATATCCTATCCTATGATGGACTGTAACTTACTAACTCTTCTCTTGCAATTAGGCATTTAAATTATCTTATGATCTATAGTGAATAGCGCAGTTTACAAATTTATATTTGCATCTCTGATTCTCTCCTAAGACTAAATTCCTGGAGAGAGAATTCCTGAATTCAAGAGTATTGCCATTCTCAAGATTCTTGACATACTTCTGATTGTGAGAAGACATTTTTCATAGTTAACTCTTTTGTTTTAACTGTTTATATTGAAATACTTATAGGTTTAGAGGAAATTTTAAAGATGGCACAGAGTTCCCATGTACCCCTCACTCAGTTTCCCCCAGTCATTACATCTCCTAGAACGGTAGCAAAATATCAAACCAGAAAATTGACACTGGTCCACACTGTATATGTATTTCTGAATTATTTCTCACATGCAGTTTGTGTAACCACCACTACAATCACAATATAGAACCGTTCCATCCCCACAGAGATCTCCATCTACCCTTTAGAGTCATACCACTCCTCTCAACTATCATCCCTAATCCCTGGCAACCACTAATTTGTTCTTATTTCCATAACTTTTGTCATTTTGAGAATTGCATATGCTATTATACTGTATGTGGCCTTCTCAAAATGGCTTTTTTATTGATACATAATATCTGTACATATTTATGAAGTACATGTGATATTTTGTTACAGGCATAGAGCGTGTAATGATCAGGTCAGGATATTTAGGGTTTCCATCCACCTCACGTATTTATGATTTCTGTGTGTTGAGGGCATTTCAAGTCCTCTCTTCTAGCAATTTAAAAACATACAATACATTGTTGTTAACTATAGTCACCTTACTCTGCTATCAAACATTAGAACTTATTTCTTCTTCAACCTGGCATGTGCGTCATGCCTGTAATCCCAACACTTTGGAAAGCCAAGGCAGCCAGATCACTTGAAGTCAGGAATTTGAGACCAGTCTGGCCAACATGGTGAAACCCCCATCTCTACTAAAAATACAAAAAATTAGCCAGGCATGGTGGTGCATGCCTGTAATCCCAGCTACACAAGAGGCTGAGGCAGGAGAATTGCTTGAACCTGAGAAGCAGAGGTTGCAGTGATCCGGGAGATCGTGCCACTGCACTCTTAGCCTGGGCAACACAGCAAGACTCTGTCTCAAAAAAAGAAAGAAAGAAAAGAAAACTGATTTCTTCTATCTAATGTTTGTATCTGTTAACCAATCTTTATCACCCCACCCACCCATACACTTTTCCCTAGTATCCATCATGCCACTCTCTACCTCCATGAGGTCAACTTTTTTTTTTTTTTTTTTTTTTTTAAGACAGAGAAGGAAGCCCAAATTCAGGCCTACC